AGATGTGTATAAGAGTGGCATTTAATAGTGTGGGCAGAGGGGTTAACTCACTGTAATGGCATTTAATAGTGTGGGCAGAGGGGTTAACTCACTGTAATGGCATTTAATAGTGTGGGCAGAGGGGTTAACTCACTGTAATGGCAACTGGAGCCTATTCCCTGCTGACCCAAGAATTTGACCTAATGAGCACTGAGCCGCTCCAAGAAAATCCTACAGAAACAATAAAAAAAATAATTTTAAAAATTCCATTAAAAAATGTGTTCTTATTTGTTTTCTTTTCAACATGTATTGTATTATGTTAGGTAATAATACAAGGATATTATATTGAAATGAAGAAAGTACTCAAAATTTGGAGAAGCTTCTTCCATGAGATACGGTGAAATTAGATTTCTAATTTCATCTAATTATATTTTGGTGAGCATGGTGATATAGATTGCCAGCTGATTTGCAACCATCTATAATTTGTGGAGAGTTAAATTGTTTCCTGAGGGATTTAGCTCTTTAATCATTGAATAATCCAATAAATTCAAATTAACATAACAACATACATGACGATTCAGTTTTGAACTGGCCGAGTCTATATCATAGCTGAAAAAAATTAATAAAATTAAAGACTGTTATTAAAAATAGTCATAATAATAATCACTAATGACATTATAATGATAATAATAATTATCTAACAGTAATAACCAATAATAATAATTATCATCTAATACGATGATATATTTATATATGAATCATATTTCCAAAAATGTTTGTAAACAACATTGTGGTAGTTTAAAAATAAACTACTATACTTTCGTTTTGTGTTCCAGTTAATTTGTAATGTGTAATTTAAGTTAGTTAAAGATAAAAGTATAGTTAGGACATTTGGTAGTTTAAACAATTGTTTGATTAGTTAATTTTAAGTAATTTTTAGGTTATAGGCCTATTTCTTAGTTTCTTTTGATTTTCTTGTTACTGTAAATTTTTGTATACATGGCCTTGCAGAATAACAACTGTTGGCTAAGCCAAGCTTCCGTGTTTTAAATAAAGCTTATTATTATTTTTTAAATACAAGATATGACTTACATTTCAAATTTGAGTCTTTGACATTCTTCAAAATAATAGTCTAAAATAAACTTCTTCACAAAATCTGGATTCAAGTTGTTTTGTATGATCTCAGTTCTCTCAAACTAAAAGCAAAGTAAACAAGAAATATTTCCTATAAAACATCTTTAACTTATCACTGGTTTGTATTTCAAAACTTAATAAATTAACGTACTCTTGAGGACGACCTACCATCTTCAATGCATTTCTTTTATGGTATGACACATAAATATTAAAATATTAGCATACAGGTACAGGAATTGGTTTACAACTGGTGTAAAATTGCCACAAAGTTATTTACATTGCAGTCACAGGATTAAAATATTAAAAAGAAATATTTCCTATAAAAAACGCCGCAACATTATTAACTTATGAGAGGTTTGTATAGTTCTCAAACTTAATAAATTAATGTATTCTTGAGAAGTACAGGAATTGGTTTACGACAATGGTGTAACAATAGCCACATTGTGGTCACATTATTAAAATAATAAGAAAGGTATACTAAATAGTACTCCACATTTGAAATGTAGAAAGTGTGATATAATTTGGTGTAGGCCTAGGCTTACTATATAGACATTCCTTAGCTTGTGTTCTTACATTATTGTTGTTATTATTATTATTAATGATAAGATTATTATTTTTTATATTTTATATCATTTATATATCTTTTTAAATTTTACTACTTTCATTCTGCTGGCTGGGTTGGACAAGTTATTATAGATATATTCATCATCGCCAATTTTTTATGCTTCAGTTTTAGACTGGCTAGCACACCCCATCCCCCCCCCCAATAGCTACAGTATGCTTAGGCCCTACTGCCAAGGCTTTTCGACCGGAATTGTCATTATTTTCTATTTTCATAGCCCGCATTATTGCTTTAGCTTGAGTTGCGCATGCTCAATTGTTGCATAAAAAAGTTTGATTTTTCCCATTTCTATTTCATACCCTTTTCGCAGACGCTGTTTGGTTCCCTAGACGTCTTTTTCGTAACTGCACATGCTCGACATGGCTCGACGTCACTTACTCAGTGCACATGGTCACTGTGTTCTTATAGATGTTTCACAGACGTTCTTTGGTAACTGCGCATGCGCACTGCTTAGTTCGGATTTCCCATTCCTTCATAGTGAAAGCTACCGCTACCTACAGTTTCTTAATGACTATTTCCTTTTGATCTTAGCAGCCTAAAAGTGCAGTGCGAAAAATATATTCATCATTTTTAAGAGAGTACTTGTACTGCTTTGAAAAGTATATTCTGAAAAGTGTTTACTTAATAAATTCCAGAAATTCAATCAATACACATGTAAAAAATACATACCTCAGCAAACTTATCTGTACCCAATTGTGCTGTATACAGTACACAAACTATTTTAAAAATTATAAAAATAAGTTATAAAAGGAAATGACAAAATGCATCCACATATAATGCCAGGCTTGAAAATAATTCCGATAATTCCCTGCAAGTTGTTGCTTGTAAAGAGGTTGTCAGAAGTTATGTTTTAGTATAATATTAATAATAGTAATAATAATTCCAGAAAAATTATATATGATCATTCAATGATATAATAGCCATGATCCCAACACAACATCACCTTAACACTGCTTTGTAATAATGCTAAAAACATATTTTGTGCCAAATTAAATTATCCCTCTTAAATGTGTGAATATAGTAGAGCGGCTAAGGTTGAATATCAGGTGAATGATAGTAAATGTAGTATCAGAAGTTGGCCAAGACTAGGTGGAAGAGAGTTCCATAATTTCGAAGCAGCAAAAGAAAAAGTCTGTTCGCCAGTACAAATATGCAGCGTTCTGGGAACAGATGACCTGAGAGGAGTTGACTGTCTTGTGGAACGTAAAGATTGTTGTGAGATTGATGAAGAAAATAGTGTGGAGCGTACATCATTTATGAGTGAGTAGAATAATTTATACCAACATTTTGGTGGCAATCCTGAAACCCAATTTGGCGGCCATCTGATAATTTCTAATTATTGCATTCAGTCTCCCTGATATTGAAAACATGAGACCTTTGAATGACAGTGCTAGGTGCTGTAGATACGAAGATAATGATAAAAATCAACTATTTTGGCGGCCATTTTTTATTTTTAGGGGGCTATTTTTTTTAATGATCTTTTAGTGTCATAGTAGCACTGGACGTTTCATGCTTTTCTGCAGAAGTGCCTACAATAAGACTTGGAACAAAGCAAAAGGTACAGCCAAAGGAGCATTGTTTTAACTGTTTTGGATTTAATGCCACTATTTTCATTCATGTTCTCATATCTTTGATTAATTGTATCGGAGGAGGTTTAACTATAAGATGTAGAAGTTTATTAGACGAAACTTTTATATACCTTCTTTAGCGAACCTGCCGACTGCAAACATTGATGATTTCGAATAAAAATAAAATTTTATTTTTGGCCAATTAGCGCACCCGCCTCCATGAAAAAGTGGAAATTTCAGAAAAAAATGAAAATTTGTCTTTTTTTTTTTATTACGCATTCCGCTACCTTGAAATCTCCAAAGATAAGATATAGGCCTGTTGAATGGCCGAGCGATTAGCAGGGGCGCCGCAAGCTATAGCCAAAATATCGGCGCTGGTTTAAACGGCATGCTCGCCTATGGTTCTGGTTGTGGAACAAGTCCTCTCGGATAAGGACTATAAACCATAGGCCCAGTATATACAATGGCTCGTGTGCACTATGAACCCAGTACATCCTTCGAGACGAGTAGGGGGATATCTTGGTGTACTAGAACAGACAGCCCCTGTGGTGGACGACGAGAGTTGCTGGTACTGGGTTACCAGGTAGCACAGACACGAAGGGACCCTTAGGGGTGAAGAAAGTATTTGATCGAGTTCCTGTTCCACATATCAAGCGCCCTGAGTATCTTAAATTAGATATGTGCGCTATATAAAACTACACTATTATTACAGTATTATGTATATTTCTTCCTAATTAAATAAATTTGAAGCATTTTACCATCCTATTTTACATTCACCAATAAAATTTTATTTTTATTTTCTCCTTCATCTGGATGATTTTGGCAAAACTATTTGTTTATATTTTTATTCTGCCCTCCTACGATAATCTTTGAAAAAATTAGTAAACGAGACAAGGAATGAAAAAAGTCTCGCCTTAAATATAATTTAAAAAAAAACAAGCTCACTTGGATCCGACTTGGAAAGAACATCTTTATCAATAAGGTTGCTAAAATAAAAAAGAAATACATATATTACTCAATAGGCCTATAGCTGGGACTTAGGCTTAACCGCAAACATTAGGATATAGGGACACACCAGACCAACATGACATGATACAATACCATAACTAGGTGGCAGCAAGGGAGGGGTGGGGAAGTGCAATGTGAAAAAAATATTAGTAAATTAATGGCAATAAGTGAAGTGGCAACATAGTTTACTTTAAATGTTAATTATATAGGGCCAGGCTAGGCAGGTTTATGAATGACAGACATCGAGCTTCCTCATAGGCCTTTTTCACGAATCGGTAGACATCTTGAAGTGATGACAAACATTGCGAATCAGCGGTGCGTAACCAACAGAAATAAGATAAGCTTTTGGGCTGATTTTCTGACATCATGTTATTTTAAAAATCATAACTCCATAATGGGGAGTCGTATCCAAAAAAATTTTCCAGCAAAATGTTCTTAAAAGACTAGTCTACACCACTATATGATTGAAAAAAAATTTAAAAATGTTTTTGACCTCTGAAATCAAGATGGAAAAAGAAAAGCCTATCTTAGTAGTGTATTAAAATAGGCCTATGCATTACAGTGCAGTAGCATAGGACTTTCGTGTTGTTACTGTTCCAAGTAGCGATAATATACAGATTTCTCTTATTATAAAGTAAGTTATGTTTTATAAAGAGGTATATCATGTTTTTAACACAGGAAACTCTCATATGGTAACTAAAACAATGCTAGTTCAGAGTATTACTAGTACTACAGCACTGTAATGCATATAACTATTTTAATACACTACTGAGATAGGCTTTTCTTTTTGAATCTTGATTTCAGAGGTCAAAAAAATTTTTAAATTTTTTTTCAATCATATAGTGGTGTAGACTAGTCTTTTAAGAACAGTTTGCTGGAAAAAATTTTTTTGGATACGACGCCCCGTTATAGAGCTATGATCTTTTAAATAACATGATGTCAAAAAATCAGCCCAAAAGCTTATCCTATTTCTGTTGGTTACGCATTGCTGATTCGCAATGTCTGTCATCACTTCATGATGACAATGATGTCTACCGATTCGTGAAAAAGGCCTATTTTTATGCTAGGCCTTGGCCCTAGCAAACATAAGTAGGTAGACTAGGCGGGTTGGAGCCGCTAAGGAGGCGATCGCAGGTTGGAGGGGCCTTGGGCCGGGCCTAACTAACTAGTTGGCTAGCCAGGCCTAGGCACTAGTAGCCGCTACTACTACTAGTACTAAAGTACTGTGACTGTGACTAGCCTGCCCTTCTTCTAGGCCTAGCCAGACCTAGTTTTAGTAATTTGAATGATGGAAGGTACAACACATACATACCGACACGAAACCGTAATTTCAACTTTGGTAGATGGATTAGCCGTTGCCGACCCAGGCTGGAATCCTCCGAAATTACTCATCTTCTTCGATGGTGTACTTTCTTTATTATTTATACTCTTTGGTTATGTAGGTTAGAGAGTCCAATCCAAATAAACAAAAACACGCCTACTAAGTTGACCTTTCACCTTGACATCACGCTCATATAATAACGTGTCTCAAGCAAACCTAGCCAATCAACATCGAAGGTTGTGATGACGAATGCCTATGGAACGCCATCGCTGCCTTCGGTAACAGCTTACCATTCGGCGCATTTACATTCGGCCCTTTTACCATTAGGCGCATTTACATTCGGCGTATTTACATTCGGCGCATTTATAAATAAAATATAACCTTTGACATGGGGTCAAATAAAAAATTTCAATGGCTGTGGGAATGAGCCTATAAGAACTAGAAGAAGTAGGCCTAGGTCT